AACTGTGCAGACAAATGCCTAATTAAAAATGTACTGCTTTTCCTTTATTCAGCATTTAATTCATATTGTGGGATACTGCCTTATTCGGTCACTAATTTACAACTTAACATTTGTACCTTTATTTTGCAGATCATTGGAAAAAATGCTGCTGTCTGCAGTGATATGTGTTTAAGATCTTAGTTTACAGCCAGTAACAACCTTTTCATACTTTCTTTCCTTATTCAAGAATTTCCACCTTCCTTTGTAGTTATATTAAGTAAAATATTTTTCATTGGCACTGGCCTTTTTCTCTAACTTTATTCATTGGAGTAAATGATTATTTTCTCAGCATTTTCAAAAAGCAGCAACTCTGAGGGGTTGTTCTAAGAATGTGCAAAGTATCTGTCTTAAGACCATTAAATTTCTCATTTTATCCTGCTTATTTCATAACTGAATTACTGAATTCTGCAACTAACATAGTTCAGTTCTTTCCTCAGCATTCCCTATTTATAGCATGGTTTAAGTCTGCCAGAACTAACTTACTGAAATATTTGGCTTCTTTCCAAAGGTATCAAGTTTCATTAGAGAACAGGCACATGAACAAGTTCAAATGATAGTTATTTCTCTAAAGGAAGAGTTTTATTCCAAAGCAGATGCATTGATTGGAGTGTGTCCAGAGGTAACAATTAATTATTACCAAGTTTTGTTAAATAATACATGCTGGCTTTTGTTGAAGTACTGACACCTTAAGGGTTACTACAGTGAATCATGTACGTAATTGTGCTGCTGGATTTGAACTACTTTGTGTTCAGAAATAAGTGCAGGTACTGGCTCGATGAAAAGATCGTTTTGGTAACTCAAGCTCATTATTGTATCTCATAGTCATTTATGAAATGCTTATTTCATGTAACAGAAATGTTTTAAATTGTATGATCCTTCCTCTTCTCAGCATGATGACATTATGTTCAGTCGAGTACTGACTTTGGATCTTACCGAGTATCCAGACATGGATGACCAGGAGAGAACAGAGGACAAACCCAGTCCTGTTTCAGAATAAAGCGTGGATGATTTCAGGGCCAGGTGACAACAGCAAGAACTGGGTTTACAGCCAACTTACAAATCTGAGTTTGGATGTGGCTGTTAGAGGTTGATAGAGAAATGTTTACCTTTCAAAAGAAGCAGTTTTCTAAAATATTGAAGGAAGTAACTGTTATTCATTGATACAGTTTTGTTAACAAGTAAGAGATAGCCAGAGGTTGTCACTTAAGTGTGTATGTTCTGGTATGCAGTGCTTTATCTTCGAATGTTTTGGGGATCTTTTGCCTTAAGATGAAGGATTACAGGTTCACATAAGCACACTGTTATAAAGATCAGCCTCTTGCTTTTCTTATGAGAAGTAATGTGTTTAGCCGCATCTTCAGCATGCTGTTGAGATGCATGCTACCACTGGTCAAGACCTTCACAATTTCTCTCGTGTTGCAGCTGCATCTATTTGCCTTTAGATAGGATTATTTCATGGTTTTTTTTTTTTTAAAAACAAGATACTGAAATCTGCCCATTATCTTATGTGGCTTTTGTGACACCCACTAAGGCTTCAGTCTTCCACTGCAACCTTATGAAAACTTTAACTTTACAAAAGCTCATGATATATTGCTATAGGTGTGTTGTAACGTGGAAAAATTTCACCTTTGAGGTATTCTACCCCACACAGAAGTGGAAAGAATAAACCAGGTGTGAGTCAGATGCCATACACGTAGCAGCCTTATAAATTGGTTTGCAGTTGAGATTTATTACATAGCTGTCCCAGTAGTGTCAAGTTTATTTTGATGGCCATGCTTCATCTAAGAAGCAAAGTTAATTGAGTTGGTTACAGAACACTGAGAGAGCTTGAATCACTTCATCTGGCTTAAGCTTCACCTCAGTGTATGCTGAAGAGCTTTATTTGGTTATTGTTGTTCATAATAATTATATCTTATGTTCATATACTAGCTTCCTTTTGTCCACCATGCTGCTTATACACGTCTGCCTTGTAATGTGTTGCTAATACTGTACTTGTTGCACACAACTGATGATGTCTGGACATGAGGGGTTACTGCACAAGGAAGGAATGACGTGAGCAGTAGGTAACGTGTTCGTATGGGAATATAACAATGTAAGTCTGTCCGCTTACACTGTAGACCAATGTTTATCAAATACTTATGTTGCTGCCACACTTTAATAAAAATTATTTACTCAGTGTAAGTCATCAGTTGGCATCAGTCCCTTAATTCAGAATCCATTGACAGATGTGGAAACACAGTAGTGTGAAGGATGAATAGAAGAGCAGCCTCCAGTGATTTTCAAAGACCTTTGACCCACATCAGTCTGGGTATTGCAAATACAGAAGTTTTGTTTTGGTTTGTGGGGTTTTTTAACTGTTTGCTAGGAAACAGTTCATTGAAATAGAAAAATACAGTAAAGAATTAAACTGTCTGAAGAACAATCAAAGCTACACATTTTAGTTACTATATAAGAATGGTCTATTGGCTTTAGATATCTTATTAAAAGAGCATATGCTATCATCAGAGATATCCTATCAACATCATTACACAGCTTGAGCAAGACAGGATAATAAATGGTCAACAAGTTTGTTTTCAGTAAATTTCTTACTCCTATTTTAAAAAAAAATTATGAATTAAGTAGAAAAAGAGCAATCTACATTAGAATCAGCAAACATTTAGTATGCCAGTTTGTATGGTTAGTTCTTTCATGGCACTCCACTACTAATTTGAACAGGGCCTTAAACAACCTTACTCTTTCACTTAACAGATAAATGGAACAGATGAGTTTCAGTTTCTGTCCCTTTTGACTGTATTTTAAACCCTGAGGTAGCTGCAAGGCAATCCCATCCCCAAGATGACTTAAAATATGTAGGGGAGGGGGTTGTGTAACAAAACCCAAACTAGGCATTTCTACCTTCTTATTGTGTATGTTAGAAATGAAAATAACTCCTTACTTACTCATCTGCTTTTCAGGATATGAATAAATGGCAGTTAAACGGGGGGAGGCTGTTGCATAACTTGCAGTTCAGCAGTGTCTACAAAATGGAAGAATTGCCAATGCTAGGTGTAAGCTGATCCTTAATACAGGGAGGGGATGTGATTTCCTAATGTGGATCTGACTTCAGGCACAAGATACAGAGTTACATGACTTTAGGGTTGGGCTTAAATAATTAATCATGGTTATAAATAGCTCAGCTCATCTGATTAATTTTGCTGCAGCTTGAAGCAACAATTTAAGTGTTATAAGCTGATAATCAGCATCCAAAATAGCATGACAGATCACTTTTCAAAACAGCCAATTCATGCTGACTAGAGAAGCCAATTTTGGAAGTTAAGAGTCTTACAGATAATGCTATATGCAATGCTAAAAGACTTAATTTTCCAAAGCGATGTATGCATAAATACAGTCTCTCAAAGGGAAAAGATGAGTATGGTCTATATTCAGGCTAGTTTTGCTTTTGATTTTTACCTTTTAAAAAAAACACAGCTGAAACCTTGAGAACTGATACTTAAGGTGCTTAGCAATGATATTGCATACTAACACCCACATATAGTTTCCAGACTGTCAATCATGAAAGATGACTGGGTGTTTTCTCCTGGGGTAGAAGAGTCAGTGTGTGTGCATTGTTTAAGATTGCTTTTCTAGGCAAAATGTCTTCAGATCTTTACCTGCTTCAGAACAGGGACAAAGACTTCCACACCACAAAAACTCTACCCATCCCAGTAGTTACTAGTCTAGAAAGAAGCACGCTCCTCACTTTTAAGCTTTTCATTTTGCACACATAGATACTAGAGAACAAGGAGAAATTGGTTTTGTGACATAGGAGTAAAGAGTTGACATACATACCACAATTCAGACAGAAAGGTCATCTGACAGACCCATCACTTCCATTCCCTGTAAAACCTCATTATAACGTAGCGTGATCTCAGAAGGCGTAACAGATCAGATCCACAGGGAATGTAAGCAGAGAAATGTGACTGAAGCAACCCTCTAGGACTGCCAGATACAAATGTGCAGGTAGCAGAACAAAGAATGGTCCTGAACATGCTCTCCTGCAGGCATTGAGGTGAGAGGCAGCTGACTAGAAAATTTCGGAAGGTTAGCGGTGTTAGCAACTGAACTGCTAATTATGTCAGTTCAGTGCTGAGATGAGTGCTAGGTGAAGTAACGGCACCTCAGAAAAAAACAGTTAATGCAGTGCCTGACCTTCTCAGTGCCTACTGATCATTTGAGTAATTCAAATGAAGTCAAACTTCTACATTAGAAATGGTCTACAGATACATAATTAGATACTACTGGTTTTAATTCTGCCGCATTAAGACTATCCATTATCTGCTTTCTGAGATAACTGGCTGCATACTCTGCGATTTAAACAACACTATTTTAACTATTTCCATAGAAATACACTGCAAATAGGTCAGCAAGCTCCCATATACATATGGTATGTCCTTGCCAATACATTACTTTTGCATCCTTTTTTTCCCCATGTGATCTCATGCTTGACAGACTGACAAATGAAAACAAATACGCTAAAAGTGTAAAATGGGCAGGTTATCATGATGCAGGTTCTATAAACATGAAACAAGTTCCTGTTCCTAACAGCTTAGGGATCTGAATCTGAAGCCTGCAAGCAGCCTTGTGCTAACAGACCCCTGAAGAGTTCAACCTCCAGCAGCCTAACTGCAGTTCAGCTGATGAGAAAAGAATAGAAAACCCTTCATTTTGAAGGCACCTAACAGATAGACACAGGTATGCTAAAAGTAATTTTTGACAGATTCAAACATTACCTCTGTTGTGGCTTCACCTTGGTAAGAGTTTGGTCCAACTGACTTGAAGAACAGGCAGAGAAAACCTGCACCCGCTTCTAAATGACCCTGCAGATACAGTTTTAGTAGTACGGAAGTGCCTGGAGAGTGACTAGCACTACTCAAGCTTTACATACATTACACATTTACAGCTTTAGAAAATAAAAGGCTAAGATGCACAATTTTTATTCCACTTAAAACCATGGAAATACTCCGCTCAAAACTTTCCATGCAGCAGATGTAAAACACCTACTGTTAAAAAGCTTCTGGGTTGGGCTTTGGGGTTTTTTTCGTTAAATAGTGAGTATACCATTATCTGACTGCTTGATTCTCTTAGAAGAGTCAGTGCCATTTTCTCCTAACTTCCTTTTAGCACAGTCCACACATGAAGTTCCTGTGGAGGGAGAAAAAAAGTAAATTTAATGTTGCTACATACATGTGCTTTGTATACTTTTTATTAAAAGCACCAAATATTAAGATAAACACAACAGTGGTCCACTGAGGTTTTTGTATTTGGATTCTGAAGTATAACCCTAACCCTACTGAAAGTCTGCACCAGTTCAGTGATCTCCAGCTCTTCCTCAACACTGAGCTCTGGTACTAACATATAAATCAGGAAGTAGCTAATTATACAGCTGCCTTTTGAAGAAAATAATTTTTGATTTTGTGTGATAATGCCTGTGGAGTTCAGAGGTGAGAAGCTTCTTTAAAAAGTTTGGATCCCTTATTCAGAGGAAGAAAATTCTTGGTGAGAGCTACTGTTGAGAGTACGAACAGCATAGCTGGACAGTAAAAACGAATGAAGGGAAATTCCTTCAAATCAGGACATCCATCACTTAAAACTCTAGATATATTTTTTTGCAGGGTATTATACAAATCTGTGTTAAGGAATAATTCTCCTTTATTTTTTTACTTGCGATGTATTCCAAAATATAAGTAAATGGGTGCTAAAATTACTTGTAAGGAGGATGCTAACAAGTTAGTGAAGGAGCTTTATGTTAAGTGGAACTGGAATAAATTGTGCTCAAGTTTTTTATATTCCACTGATGCCTAATTGTACTTTACTGAAAAAGGGATTTATGAACTCATGAGAAAGACAGATAAGTTTAACATCTATTTGGAGTTACAAAAGTAACCTCTGACTTTATGTCTGCTCCCGAGTATCTTGGACCTTCTGTACTTTTTGACGGTGAGGAAGTGGGGGGGGGGCGGGGCTAATATACTGCAATGCCAAAGACCCTTATGTCCAATAATGAAATGATACTTCCATACAATTTTGATATTATTTGCAGCAGCAGCACAAGTATCTTAGAAATGTAATCTTTTTAAGTTGAAGTGGTGTTTCAAAGGGAAGTTTTGCTATTTTATACCATAAATTGGGATGTATTACTGCTCTGCTTATTCACAGAAGTATCACAAAGATGCCTGAACAACACTTAGCCAAAAATTCACCTTCAGTACTACACACTTAAGCTTGAGATTCACTCTTCTATACCTTAAGGAGGGCACTCAAAATAGCCAAACATATGTTTGGAAGTTTAAGCCAAAACCACAAGGATGTTAATATTATCTGGGAATATCATCATCAGTAATTTTTAATATACATTTTCTGGAGCTTTTCCATTCTATCATTTCTCATTTTATTGACAGCCGAAAGCCAGCAGTTATCTGCTAATAGGTAGAAAGAGGGTAAAAAAAGAATCTGTTAAGCAGACTTTCAGAGCTAAATGAGAGCGCTGCACAATAATAATTTAATTATTTTGTAATCAGAGACTTATTTTTATCTCTCCGATAGATTATGGAAATTTAAGTAAAAATAAGAAAGTTACTTACCCAACAGTGTTGTGCTGTCCACTCGATCAGCATCTAGAGAAGTGTCAGAGACAGGAACAGCACAAGTTAGCGTCAAAAAAGCTTTTACACTTTTATGCGACATCCCAAAATGGCAAGGTTGCATTTAGAATCATATGTCCCATGGCAGGGACACCTTCCACCAGACCAGGCTGCTCAAAGCCCCATCCAACCTGACCTTGAACACTGCCAGGGATGGG